CATATTATCATATTTCAATATTCTAGAATAATTATGTTAATTTTAACGTGAACAAAGGTTAATCAAAGTGTAACATATTGCAGGTTCATGTGTGAAATATTTTCAAAAACACTCAACTTGTTCACCATATTAATTTGAATTATATTAATAAAGGATGTTCATAGATGTTCATAAGAAGGTGTTTATAACCATGAAGTCTTCATAAGAATGTCTCATATGTGTTCATAGGTGTTCATAATAACGTGTTCATAAACATAAGATTGTGTTCATAATCATATGATTTTCATAGGTGTTCAATAAGATTGTTCGTAAGTGTTTATATGTCATTATTTTTTCCACAAATACCCCTGTTCGAGAATGTTCACCAATTTTATTTATGTTTAGTTTTTCATTTATTACAAATATCAAATATGTCAATCAAATTAATCCATGGATTTCAAAGATTATGAACTAAGATTGATTCAAATACTTAACACCAATTATTGGGTTAACAAAAGAAACAACCACACACACACACACACACACACATACACACACACACACACACACACACATATATATATATATATACACGTACACACTTATACATAGAGTTGGATTCCAGTGAGAATGAGAGTTAAAGTAAGAAGCGTAAAAAAGTATCTCCCCTTGGATCCACATTAGGATGAGATACAATTGATCAATCCCCGTATCAAACGCGATTCATGAGTGTGTTTGAGATTAAAAGTGATCAAGTGACCAAATTATTCTCACACTCACACACAAAGACGTTTTTTTAAAAAAGTGACATCATTTAACTATAATAAAAAATATATGAAGAGATTTTTCACATCATAATTCAGAAACATAATACAGAGTCTTGTGAGCTATTTTGTTCAATTTTTATTGCAAAAAAAAATTAAAAACATAATAAATCTGAAATTAAAAGATAAAAACTAAAAAAAAATGACACCATGGGGATTCGAACTCGGTTCTGGAGTGAAAAAAAAGTCTTGCAAACGAACTCTACCATGGAAAACTTGAGTCTTTATTTTAGTTTCAATATATATATATATATATATGGTGGTACATAATAAATCAATACGGTTGCACATTTTTTGAACCTAAATTTTTTTATCCTTCCGAAAGAGTAATACGGAAGCACGTATCATCGGTAGCACCAAGATGGATCCGTCCCTGTATATGATCAACCAATGTTGATTAGAGGATCAAACAGTTCCATACGTGTGGATTTTTCTGAAGAAATAAAAAACAGTTTAATAATATTAAGGGCAAAATGCATAAAATAGCAATCTACTTTCATAAATTTTTTTATTATAGCATTGTACTTTCAGTTTTTCTTATTACAGCAATGTACTTTCAAATTATTTTTTATTAGGACATTGTACTTTGAAAAATTTACCCATTATAGCATTTGGTAACCTTTTGATTTAAATTTACCCATTATACTAGGTTTCCATGCCACCTCATTGTCCACGTAGG